ATCTCAGATGGAGGTGACATCACCATCAACCACTGCAATTTCACACTCAATTCCGGATATTCATCCGGTGTGGTCTACTGCACGGGCACTTTGAACGGTACAGATCCATCGACATCATCATGTCGACGTCGACGCATCAACCACTGACGCTCCACGAGATACCGGAAGTTTCTACGTGTCCAACTCAGCCCAGAACACCGGTGCTACCATCTTCTCTCGAAATAGTACCCTCCTCAGCGGTGTCTCATTCGTCTTCAATGAGAGTCCAGTCAATGGGAGGCGTAAATTGACCATGAACAATTGTACTGTCAACGACAATGCTTCGGACCAACCTCTCGTGGAGGGATCTACCGTGTCGATTTACAATTCCACTTTCATTGGGAACGATGCCCCAGGTGAGTGACATTTATTTACATTTTATTTACATTTTATTTGCATTCATTCGTGTCTTCTCATAGTGAACAGCCGTGATATCTGCCACAACTCTTTCGGTCGATTCCTCATTTTTCTCTCAGAATTCCTCACCATCTCAGAATACCACAGGTCAGCCCATCCACTGACATCTCCCTGACATTCCACAGACATCTCCACGATTCAAGGTAGCATCACTGACACTCTCTTCGAGAGCAACACGACCTATCATTACGCCATCACATCTATGAACCTCATCCAAATCGACCATTGCAACTTCACTTACTCGTTCACTCCCATCACCATCTACCCGAAATACGGTGTCGGTGTGACGTGTAGTGTCTTACATTCCACCTTCACCACGGACAACTCCATCAAATGGGTCACTTCCCCCGGTGACATGTTCACCAATGTAACAACAGACGATCCACAATTGTTCTGTAACGTAGCCAATCACTACGATCAATTGGATGGTCTCTACTTGGCCAATTTCTGTGGACGTAGGATGAACCGTCGATCTCAGTACGATTGCAATGGGAGGTTGTGCACCACTGCGGTGAGACAAATCGTTCGAACGTGACGTGACAGACATCAGCCCTCTATCCCAACGAATCTATGGAGCTTCACTATGCCAAGTACATCCGATATCACGTCCAGCTCCGAGTCCAGCTCCGAGCCAAGTAGTAGTACCATCTCCGACGTATCCACTACTACAACCACTCCGATGAGCTCTACGAACGGTACCAACAGTTACACGGCTGTGCCACCCATCTCTGATTCCCAAGCATCACAACAGGTCCAGATCATCGGAGCGAACAACAAGACCTTATCTCCCACTGCAATCTATCAAGTCATGTCCCAATTATTCTCCAACACCACTTCATCCAATCCGATCACCATCTCCACTCCATCGGTCAATCTGACGGCTTACGACGCGAGAAGATCATTCAACTTCACCGTAGTACAAGTCTACACCACGACCAACGGAACCAATCGAGCGGCAGCTTCTGTAGCCTCATCATTACTCAACGACATCGCAAACGAGAGGAGGGAACTCGAGCAGAGCCTACCGTCTATCATCGTGTTCATGGAGTACAATTACACCACCGGAAACTTCAAATCGCCTCCACCGGAGAATTTGTCCGCCAACATCTACGGCTTGACCATCACTGATGACTACGGTAACGTTATAGAGGTATCCTATCGGTTACCAAACGTCAGATTGACATCGATTGACAGGTCAACGGAGCATCGAAAGATTTCGTCATCACCATGCCCACGAAAGGTGTCAACAAGGCTGAAGATCTCGATCGTCTGGTCTGTCTGTACTACAACGAGACGAATGACGTGTGGCGCGGAGATAATTGTACGACGTACCGTGACTACGTCGACTACTTTGTCACTTGTGCCTGCAATCATCTCACCAATTTCACGGTCGGTAGCCTACCTCCCGTCCAATCTGCCGCTCAGATCGAGAAGTTTCCATCATCAGCCTCCCACTCCACGATTCCCATCATCATCGGTGAGTGGACATTTCTCTGTGACATCCGACACAGACAGGATCTATATTGGGTTCCATCGCCTTGATCATCGTGTCGATCATCATCGCAGTCATCCTATTGAAACGAAGGAGGGCATCGTCTCAGGTGACAAGGTGCTATTTTTAGACGTAAAAGTGAAGAGAAGGACAGGTGGACATGAATGATATCCCCATGGATGTTGCAAGGGACAACGTGAGTCGAAGCTATGGATTGGAATGACAGAGACAGCACGTTATTTTGGGAGAGACGTTGAGAGAAGGAGAATTCTCCACGGTGTACGGGGGAGTACAGTCAGGTTCAACCCCTGTAGCCGTGAAGCAAGCTTCGGAGATCGACAAGCGGCCCACCCTGAACGAGCTCTCCATCATCAAGGTGAGTCTCCTCACCTTCTCCTTTTCACGTTGAACAGTCGTTGCATCATCCGAACGTCATCCAATACCTGTCCCACTTTAAAGACAACGTCGGTGGAGTGTGGATCGTGTTCGAGCGGATGGAATGCAATCTGTCCGTGAAGCTCGTCGACAGCATTGGAAACACGAGCTTCTCACGCCTCCAGCGCTATCGAGCGTGAGTCATTCTGAAGAGAGAGTCTCACCTGCATCAGGATGCTGCAGATCGCATCGGCTCTGTCTTATTTAGAATCGATGGACATCGTTCACACTGCCGTAACTGCAAAGAATGTGTTGATTCGAGGGGAAGAAGCTAAACTGTGCGATTTCAGTGAGGGATCGATTTTATTGTATTTTCAATCCACTGAGATCGAGAGGTATGGCAATGAAAGATGGAAAGAGGATCGTGAGAGAAACCGCTGGAGATTCTTTGTTGAGATGGAGTGTGAGTCGACCTCTCATGCAAAAGTGCTGACTCGTAGACAGGCACCTGAAGTGTTGTCCCAGCAGGTCTACAGCTTCGCGTCTGATGTATGGTCTTTCGGCATGCTCTTCTGGTGAGAAATGCATGTGAAGAGAGGGATTGATGAGAGTAGGGAAGTGATGAATGATGGTAGAGTTCCTTACAGCGACAAGAACCATAAAGAGGTGAAATCGAAAAGATGATGAACTTGAGCTGACACCCAAAAAGGTCAGGGCTCTCGTGATGGAAGGAAACACTCCTGAGAACGAAGGAAAAGAGCCACACAATCACATCATGGAACGATGGTGAATCGCCTTCATTTTGAATCGACGTTAACGAGATGCATAGCTGGAAGGTAGATCCCATGCGGAGGATCAGCAGCCGCGACATCGTCAGAGAATTGGGAAGATTCAGAGAAGAGGTAGGACTGCAGGTCATGGATCGCTCTGATCCTTATTCTTTCGTGGACCTGAAGTGATGAAGGAGGGTGTATCAATAGATCAAATTCAAGTTGAAAATTGGAAATTTCTCGGTAACTGCCTCTGGATGATGTGATGTGATGTGAACAGATCGCATCATGGACTTCTCAGCACCTAGCGTCTGTCAAGATTTGAAAGAGAAACACGATCAGTGCTTTTTTCGATGGTATGCCAAAGACTTTCTGGCAGGTAAAGCGACAACCATTGAATGCAACGAAGAGTGGGTCGCATATCAACAGTGTATCAAGGTGAACAGTGTTAGATAGTATGATATCTCAAGTTAAACAGAAAAGACTGAAGGCCATTGATGATCCTACGGTGTCTGATGCAATCAATCCTCCATCGGAGAGGAAGAAGATAGACAAGAAATGAGACTCTCATCGAAGAGACTCTTCCATTCTTTTGAACAATGTATCACCGCGGAGGCGTCAAACCGCATGCTCGACGCCAGAATAATGAAGAGGTTGACCCGTTCCATTTGTAGTCTGTCCTTTATTCCATCTCTAGTTTCTCGTACCCTCTCATCCTCCACTTCATCACATCAACACAGACCGCGATCAGAACGACGAGAGCTACGCCCACGAGTGATACGATGATGATAGCACCAGACCCAGCAGAGAAGTGATGATCCCTTCATCTAAATCGTACGTGGAATCCAGCTGTATCATCTTTTGAAGACTGAGTGATCTGCTTCTTCGGTCTCATGGTAGGTAGTGGTCTGTGACAATCTGATGAGAGCGTTGGCCGTCGTCTCTTGATTGCAAGGACTCTAATCAGATAGAGACGGTAGAGCCTGGTGAGTCAGTTCTGCCTCGGACATAGCGCCTCGGCGTTGATGAGCCTCGTCGCCCGTGTAGCCCTTTGAATGATCCGTGTAGGAGCACCTTGGACCGAGGATGACCTTCAGATGGTTTAGACGTGATAAGTCGTTGTCGACGTGTTGTCTGGATCGACAGCGGTGAAGACGAGGTCAGAGGTGGGGAGATAGCACATATTGGAATCGATGGAGATCATGCATTTTGAATGTGCGATATTTATACAACAGTCGTGAGTTCAGTGAAAGCGAGTGGAAAGAGGATTCACTCTCCAAGTTGGAAGGTTAACCACAGAGGCGCCCAGACTCTCTCCTGTGAATCATCAGAATGAGGAAGACATTCCACGATCGCATACTCAAGTGGGCCAAGCGAGACATATCTACGACATCTTCTTCATCTTTGGGGTTGAGAAGGTGGAAGGAAGGAGATGGCGTGGTTGGTCTGACCTCTCTATCGTCTCGAGAGGAGGCAAAACCGTCGTTATTGGCGTGAGCGAGAACGATGAATCGAGATAGGTATCCTCTCAATCGCATAGAAGGTGGGCCGTGATATTCGTGGAGAGAGCGCTGATGGAACATCGAGGCACGATCTCGATTAGGAGGGATACAAAATGAGGGAATTCGAGACATAGCTCGTGTGGGACTTCTGAGTGAACATCAACCCTTGGCGGTGGATCTTCGGCATAACTAAAAAGAACTCACGAGTTGAGATCAGTCTCCAAAAGGATCGAAGTGATGCTGTCTTGATGTCTCTCTTGGAGTTGGTGTCCGTGTTGTCTGATCGACGAGCGAATGTAAAATCCGGAATTTGATCCGTCGACATTATCCAACAAGTAGACTCGAATACAATCATCTTTTGCATTACACATAAATACCACACTGACCTTGTTGAGGCTGACACCCGGCTCCTTGGCCAAGCGGCAAGGCACCAGTCTTGTAAACTGGGGATCGCGAGTTCGATCCTCGCAGGGGCCA